TAGAAATTGCTATTTACATATTTACAATTGACTTATATTAACTAATTATAAAATTGTCATTTACATGTTTCATGAATTGGCTTTACTGATGTGCTTTTTAAAGTCTGAGAAGTTACATAACCTTATAAAATTGGGTAGAGAATTCCATTCTTTTGTTGCCAGATAAGTAAAGGAGTGGAGACCAAAAGTTGTAGTTTTAGGTTTGGGCATTTCCAGTATATAGTTTCCACGCATGTTGTATGAAGTAGAACGGAACGAGAACATGTTTCTCATATAGGCCGGATAGCTAGTGAAAAATAGACTTTTGTACAAAATAGAAAGGAATTTACTAATGCGTTGATCATGAAGTTGGAGACAGTTTACCCTGTCTAGCAGCACATTATAAGGCGATTCAAAATCGATGATAAAAGCGATGGATGTTAAACAAAAAAGAATAACAATAAATGTAGTAAAATTAAACTACAAATGTAGAACATTGATTGGCCATAAATATAACCAACTTAACCTGAAATCTGTTGCAGCTTAACTTATTCTCCGGCCCTTCCAAACAGAGTAACTGATATGAGCCGACTGTATTTTACCAACAATTTTCCTGTCAAAGCGATACAGACGTGTACTTTGCAGCGTCTTTACCGTTGTTTTCATCGTATTTAGCACGCTAGAAGGTAAAATCAAAACGATACTCGAAACACGCTGTAGTAAAGATAAGAGTGCAAGCACACAAAACATTTCCTTTGTGACTTTTGTTGATCTTCGCTTTTTATTAATTTTATTCAGACCATTTTATATGTACATATTCAAGATACAAAGGGATCTAAACTGGTCAGGAGAACAAGCAAACCTTTTCTGTGGGCTTGATAGTACAACTGATATGATGAAGCACATCTGGTAAGCCTTTGTGGTAAGTGAACGACATGCTGTCAAATTCAATCTGTCCGCGGGGTGGCCAGTCATCTTTAGGTTTAGTATCAGTTTCAGCTGGAGCCTCAGAATCCAGGTTCATGTATTCTACGATACGCTCTACAGATGTCATCTAATTAGAAAAGCACAATTCACACAGCTTTTAGCGACAGAACCCTAAGGAAGCATATTAAAACGCCGACGCTGTCTAAAAAAGTCTCCTTGCTGACAAGTCCAGAGTTAGTGGCGAACAAAATTACCTTCAGATGTAAATACCCTCATGATAATAGGAATAAATCTTCCGCAATGCCCGCCATTCACTCGGACCGTTTCAAGAATACATTCTTTAACAGGATAGTTTTTAAGTACAATGTAGCTTTGTAAATAGTGTACTTTTTGTATTCGATTTTTGTATTTGTTTCCATGTAAATATCTATCTTATTTAGAGACATATTGTAGCCCATTAACATTGTTATTTTTAAATGTAACATAAGATATGTAATTTTATCTTTTGAACAATAAAGACACTTTATTTATTTATTTAATGATAATGATAATGATAATAATAATAATTTAAGGTAAAAACCATGGTGATTAATATCGAGTGCTGAGACTGGGGACGATTGACAAGGATTATGAGGAACAACGGTAACAATTGCATCCTTCATTGACTCAAAATGTGCTGTATGCACAGTGGCTTCTTTCATCTTTTCACAGACCCAGTATTGACCATTATACTCTTTCGCGTGTCTGTTGTTGTTTTGGTTTACACGATAACGACGTTTCTGTTGTTTTCCAATGCTGTACAGCGTGCAATGTATCCTGGCAAACCTGGGTCTTTAAAGACAAACAAACAGTTTTCTAATAATTCATAGGGTCTTTTAGATATTACTGAACGCCAGTCCAGTCATCTACTGACTTGAAAGAGAACCCTTTACATAAAACGTGCAGAAATATTCATTCCAGGATGGATGCATAACACTTACCAGATTTTCTAACTCGGCACTCTCCTCAATAAATGGCTGGAATACACCAGTTAACATGATACAATATGACAAAGTCAGTCCAACTACACCAGCACTCAGATCTACAGCTACAAGTGAAAAGAGGGTGTATAACGCCCTTTTAAAACTTTGTCATTGGATAATGCAGTCCAAGCGTTTTCATTGGCTAAGCTACCATGGTATATGAGCCACTGTTATACCTCCCAACTCAAATACGTTTCCCGATTGGAGGAGAACGTGTCACGTGTCGTGGCTCAAAACTCACTAATTCCCTGGGGCAAACAAAACTCACTAACTCCCTAGGGAAACAACAACTTGAACTTTCGACTCGCAGGTGATCAGGTCGTGCTCCTTGAAACCGCGCCAAATTTGTGAGCCAGCCGGCGTCAAGTAAACGATTTCTTCTCAGTTTTTTTTCTATTTTTGAGTTGGGAGGTATAACAAAACACTTAAGGCCTGGCCCCGCGAGAAATAGTGAATTTTGTTTCCCCTCGACCTCATGTTCGCCTCGGCTTCGCCTCGGGGAATATTGAGGGTCTCGGGGAAACAACATTTACTGTTTTCCATGGGACCAGTCATTACGTGCTTATTAAACCATGCTCTACGAATAAGGTAAGCTTACGCGTAAGTTTTTGCGGGCGTTTTTATTTTAATTTATTTCAGTTGTCTATATTTTAAGGGCGACACCTATGCTTCTGTCTTCCAATTGATCATAATTAAGGACCAGTCAAAATGCGAGAATAACGCGACATATCATATAAAACTAACTTCAAACAAATAATACCATGCTGTGTTTATATCAAATAACAGAGTCATTATTCCAAGAATTGTTCAAGGACTTGGGTCTACTTACTTCCTTTGATAGCCGGTGACACGAACGCAACAAAGGCAAGAAACAGTACAGTGAGCATCTCAAGCCTGAAGTTAAGCCAAGTCTGTCCCGCCAGGTACGTGAACCACGCCCTGGAGTGAGCGTCTTGATAACTGTTTACTTGGTCTGTAAACGTTTCCTCCACTCCATAGGCACGTATAGTGTCCAGACCAAGAAGAGTGGTAGAGAAATGACCAAATAAGGGACTACGACCTGTAAAACAGTAGAGAATTAATGAATTTTCATTCCTCAAACAACCAACGGATTACTTCAGAAGATCATCAAAAGCTAAACAGCTACCAACACATAAATATGTGCTTGGATACAAAGTGGGATTATTTAGAACTGCTTTTTGGCAAAATTACTCGAACACTGAGATCCAAGTAACGACTGTTTGTCTGATGAAGGAAGTTAACAGTGTTTTTTAACGTTTTGTAGTGTGTTGCTGTGAGTAACATGACGTAGGCAAAGACAAGTGATTGTTATTAGGTCATCTTAAGACAGAAGAGTAACACAGGGTTCTGCTCACTTATTCCTTCAATACGCTTGATTTCTCGAGATGACTTCATGAAATAATTCCTCAAATAAACAAAGCCTATTATGAGAGGTACAACCATCACGATTGTCACTGGATTATTGACTGCTACTAATCCTAAAATGCCAAGACACACCAAACCAGTCTGCAGAAAAAAAAAACACGATTTAGAACAATCAAAACATTACTTTAAAAATATAAAAAAACACCAAGGAACGATGTCAAAGAAGAATTCATCAATTAACGACTCATGTTATTTTCTGAGAGCGGAATTTTTCAGATCTAAAGAGCACAATAAAGGATGACAGAAGGACTCCAAATCTTGCAGTTCGCCATAAATTACAAATGACACGCGATTGTCATTTTAATAAACGATTTGGCATTAGCCGTTTCCTGCCAATTATCAACACTTAAAAAACCTGCTGAACTGCTAATTTTTGTTATTAGCATTAATTAACCAATGTCAAGTAAGATCACACATGCTACATTTCACCTGTAAAACATCGCAGAGGATCATGGGCATCATGTCGTCTATCATACCAATGTCCTTTGAAAATCTGTTGAGAATTCGCCCTAAAAACCCATCAAAGTTCATCATTGATTGAAAATGCCTGTTTTGGTGCAAAGCCTGTTTGACAACTTGCTCATGAAGAGCCACCTTAAGTAACTCGTTTTTTCTTTTCCCGCATTTACAGTCTCTAGGGACCTCCCATGTGATTTCTGATGACACAAACTCAATACCCGTTACCCGTAACTCTTCTTTTAGTTTTTTCTGTTCCTGATACCGTTATCACCTTTTATAAATGTTAAAGATGTTGGAATTCAAAATAGTCTTGTCCAATCACATTTCACTCATGTCTATCGACTTGATTTCAATGATAATATTGATATTTAAATAGTCCCGTCCGTGACTGCAAGGTGAAGTATCATTATTTTAGGTATACGTTTGGTAACGTTTCTTTACATTAAGTTGCAAGTTTATTTCATTTTATTTTCTCGACCTGCCCTATGTGTTCGTTTGTTTGCGAGACAAATTGTTGGAAAATCACAGCAATAAAACTTGGAAAGTGAACAAGCTAGGTGTATCCTCACCTATAGAATTGTTATCAAAAAAGTACATGGGTGCTCTCATAAGACTGGTAAGCATCTTGTCATACAGGTTTTTGGAAGCAACCACAGTAAGTGTGTAGTACAGCTCGATACAGATGAGACTTAGCAAAAAGAGCCCTACAACAAGACCACCATAAATCCCTAAGTACAGGGCCAGGTCTGGTTTTGATGCTGCAGTCGTTGTGGAGTTCTCGGTTTGTTGATATTTTGCTAAGTGGTACGACTCCTCAGCATTAGACCTAAGTAGACATAGCATAAAGAAAAATTTGAACGTGGAAAATAAAAGTACATAATAACATCCCCATGATCCTTGTAACAACAGAACAAAAGCTCTCTGTGAAGACACTGGGCGCGGATCAACTGTCAGGTCTACCCCAAGTAATAAGGATATGAGAGCAATGGTATCATGTGTACATTAAGCGAAACAGTACACAAGCTTTGACTCGAAGATTGTCGAACGTCTCTTTTCTTAATTACTTCAATGCTTATTTAAAAAAACAGAAGAGCATGTCGAGAAAATTGCAAGTAGTAATTCTCATTTATATGTTGTTGATAACGTCTCTGAATTTCAAATGTTATTTTTGGTATGTCCAGACTGTATACAAAATAGTTGAGTGATCGTGGAGTCAGAACAGAGACGATGCTTTGAATCAGAGGGAGGAAAAAAAAGTTTAGAGGGGGGGGGGGGGGGGGGGGTAAAGATGAGCCTGAAGGAGCCTACACTCTACGTCTTGCGGGTCCAAGATAATATGCAAGCAAATTCCACCAACTCGCTGGCCAGAATGCCTGCACTGAATACCACATTACGAAAGAAGTGGAACTACCTTGCCATTATCGCCTTTTAAAATGTAAGAGGTAGAATTTGTTATCTTACCAATATGATAACCACCAATCTGCTAACATTGCTACTACCTACCACCAGAGTAAAAAGACAGTCACTTCACAAATCTTTATCCTTTCATTTACAAGAGTCGTACTCTGAATATTATACAATATGCAATTATTCTAGGTATTTCCTCACCATTTTCAATTCCTCTTAGGGCTGTTTGCTAGTACTATCATTCTAAAATATCAGGAAATGCCAAAAATAGACGGATTCGGCTAACGTGTTTACACTGATCCTTGTTGCCACCCAATTCAGGCCACGTGATAATTTATTTGCGAGGTATCAATTGTGCAATTAACCACACGCAACTAATTGCAAAGTATGGACAAACAGAACTGTTGTAACCCCCCAAGTGAATCATCACATGACCTGAATTGGGTGGCAACAAGGATGTAAACCCAGAAACACGTTAGCCGAATCCCTGTAGGAGCGTGTTGTTGGTTCAGTATGGGCTAAAGATCAACAGGAATTCTGTGTTTCAAAAGTGGCTGGCCTCACATTAAAAAGGGAATTTGTGTCTGTCAAGTGCTTAAAAGAATACTGCATGCTATAGTGGTCAGCAGAAAATTCCAAACCTGCATTATGTAACGATATGCGAGAAAAAACGTTCTTTACTATGGCAGCAAACTTCTCAAAAAACGTTGGGAGACGTGGAGGGCAGGGCGGGGGGGGGGACTTTACATGAGACTAATGAGAGTAAGTCTGAACATTTGGCAGGAAACCCTTGCTATAGGATTTTAACGGTATATTCTCACTTTATACTTTCCTAAAACGTTTCTACATTACCGAAATGAGAGGGAGAAAGTCCTCACATCGCAAAATATTTTCGCAATTCAAATTCACAGCAAGTAAAGTTTAGCATATCAGACAGATACCAATATTCACATGATACCACAGAAAAAAAGAACTGATCGCACATCTCAAATTTAACTTTATAGGATTTTTTTCTGTTTTAAAGTGTCCTTTTCACCATAATTCAAATTTGACCTTATGTAAAAAAAAAAGTAACCTTTAAAAGAATTATTACTTGTATATCAGTTATATTTCTTACCTGGCAAAGAGCGAATAAAAAGATAACAACACAAGCAGTTCCTAGATTGTGAAATGCGCGGAAATATGCTAAGTAAGTCTTAGAACTGACAGCTCCTTCTTGTCTCTGCTCAGGTGGAAGAAGATTGTCCTCCTATGGAGCAAACAATTTAATGACAATAAGTGGCCTGTATCAGTGTTCTTATGGTGGGTTCGTCTGGGTGAGAGTAGTTCTGAAAAGAACTGTTGTTGGTGACTGACGTTAGACAACCTGCGCGGAAGCCATCCTCGGAACCCAGCGAAAAAAGCCAGTGGATGATGTTATAAGTCTGGTCCTTTGAAACTGATTGGTCAGTTTAGTCATAATGATATTGGCTGTAAGTCTGGTGTAAAGGTTGCCAGCAGTCATTGGTCGGCTCTAGTAAGTTTCGATCTGTCTACTGTTAGTCAAATTAAGTCGTCCTGTTTGAGATCTGTCCGTCGGTTTTGTTTATGTCGTGAATAAGCCGTTTGTAAGTTGACGGTAGTTGCTGACATCTGTTAAGGGGCATTTGTTCTATGTTGGTGTATCAGCTTTCCAGAATCAGTCGTTGAAAATAGTCAGCACTGCAAGTTAAGCATTCAAGTAGTTGAGCTTTAGCAATCTTAGCACATGAAGTGTCAGCTAACGGGAAGTGTCAGTTGATGGTAGTAGTACAGACGAAAGTCATGATAATATAAAGTTACTGTAGAACCTTCCACGAAGTTATTGACGGTAGTTAATGTCTATTTACAGGACCCGTGTTTCACGTGAATTTTCCAACTCAGGTTTGAATGTTAGTGGCTGTTTCGCCAAAGAAGCATGGGGAAAGATCCCCACAAAAACGCCCTCTAAGTTATGTTGTTAAATACGAGGTACAGAACCACATATTCCTTGTCTGCATTTATTTTAAATAATCACAGGTTTATTAATTCACAAATTGCATAACACCCTTTTAGTACTGCCACTTGCCCTCTGGTTGTCTGTCGATAAACTTATTTGTATTTATCATTATTGGACTCCTAGATGTATGAATTCCACTTTAGGCCACTTGTCAAACAAAAGTGAAAACAATTTTTATCGGTGAGCTGAAAAAATCCGGTAAGATTGAACTTTCTGTGGTCTTCTGTGGTGTTTTATCGATAGTATTAGACAAGACAGGATTCATTAAACTTACATAAACAGACAATGTTGTGGTGGCGGACATGATGGAATGAGTACTGTCACCCACTTTACTAAGCCGATGACATGGAAATGAGTCTTGTCTACTTAGTTGCCTAGCAACCATCAGTCTTTCAGCATCCTTTGCCTCAATCTGACGACCTGCCTCTGTTTCTGGGTCAGTTAAGCACGCCATAATGTCTGTACTGCCTTTACATAGAGACAGTTCTTTATAGGGTCCTCTGTTAACCACCTTGCCCTTAACACAAGATAAAGGGAGACAACAGGTGTTTTCAGTGATTATACTATGCTGCAGTTAGTGACAAAGCAGTGTTCAGTAGATCAATAATAAGCCCTTTTACCTGATCCAAGACCATCAAATCATCGGCTTCTCCAATATGCTGGAGCTGGTGCGTTACTAAGATACGAGGCTTGCTCGCCAGATATCCGCAAATACATCTTTTAAGAACAAAGGGAATATGATATGTCAGAGTGAGAAGTTAAATAAAAGAACAATCTGATCAAAATAAAAAATGACATGAAACGTCTTTGGACAAGGCAAATTCCAAAACTACTGTATGATCGATCAAAAAAAAGTGTACTGGTTATGCTGGGTCCCCGCACGCTTCTGTGTGATATTTCGCACGAGCTGTCTCCTTCACTTCACCGTGCCAGTACAATGAAAGTTATGAAAGTTATTTATTGAATTCTTTGAGCACATTGGCAAGTTGAATGCAGTATTAATATAAATTTAGTATTCTTACTTTTCAAACAGGTGTCGTCCCACATTTGCATCCACAGCACTCAATGGATCATCCATCAAGTAAATATCAGCATCTGCATACACTGCCCTGAAACAAACCAAGTCTGCTAACTAAAATCTAAATGGTTTTGTTGCAACCTTTCTCTGACTGAAAGAAAATAAAGAAGAAAAACGTCTGAAGTACAATTATGCAGTGCAACTTAATGTATGCCTTCGACAGGCATTTGAGGTCATGCTAAGCTTTATCCGCTTAAATAAATTCAGATGATTTCTTAAGGTTTGTCAAGTATATCTCTGTAAACAAGATGGCGATTTCAAGTCAGAAAGTGGGAAACTGGATTCAGGAATTGTAGCAATTTAGTATATGGAATAAGACTACGTGCTGTCCAATTTGGAAACAGCTGATGAGAAAAATTCCGAGGACTGGCTGACGAGAGAAAAGGCCGGGTTCATTTGGCAGTCAGAGAAATTTTTTTTTAACTCAATCAATTCCAAACTGGCCAGGATGTAGTTGGATTACCTGTTAATTATACCGTGCATGGAACTGTCCAAATTACTTGTTAATCTGAACAGTTTGCAAATTGCTCGTGCGGGCATGAGATGTTATGCTGACAATTACGTAATTATGCATTTCACAATTTTCTTTGATCAGCAGGGCCTGGTAGAATAAGCTAACCCACGATTAGTGTGAAGTTTGATTTCAGTTTTATTACTTTTCAACCTTAATTTCTGCCTGGGCTTTTTCCTTTAGCTTTGACCTTGACTAATCTTTAACTCCGCAAAACACATGCATTAAAAAAACTTCTCAATACACGACAAATTCAAACTTCGAGGAACCTTAATGCTATTCTCCCCATGTTCTTCGACCCTGAATAGAGTTCCTAATTACTATTACTATAATCCTAGATGGAAGCATTACTTGGCTTTCGAACAACCCGTCCCAGGGCTATATCTCCTATTATTAACCATACCTTGCCAAGTTGACTCTTGCCCTTTGACCTCCACTTAAGGACACACCTCGTTCACCCACTAAGGTCATGTCGCCCTCTGGGAGTAATTCAATATCCTATTAAAAGAATATTACTGAGTTAATGGTTTGAACCCATGAAAATCAGTAGTTTGTATTATGTGATCGTGCAGGTGAGGGGAATTCTGAAAAGAGCTATTGTTGGTGACTAACAGCAGTTCGTTTCAGAACTCCCCTCACCCGAACGAGCACATAATACGAACTATATATACCAAAAGAATATCAAGAGCTAGTGTCTTCCCCAGTTAATAGCTGATACCATCCTCAAGAATTGAAGCTGGTGCTCTCGAGAGCAAAGTTGCAAATTTGCTATCAGCTTTTTGAATTCTTACGAGTCCTCGAAGGATCAGAATCTCTCTCAGTACCAACAAAGCATTGACATTCTTCCACAAACCGCACTGTTATTCACATTCAGAATTAATTTAATGTTAAGTTTCAAAATCCTGGCTGATCTTTTCAAACCAATATTTTAGTTAATGTTCAGTAAAAAAATATTACTTGGAATATTCTGTAAAAATCAACTGTAACAACGATAGAAATACAATGTCAAATCTAGACACCTTATCCAAAGCACAGGCCTTGATCACTTCACTGAACTTGTCCTCTTCATTGTCCTGTCCAAACAGAATGTTCTGGCGTAGTGTTCCATTATAAATCCAGGCCTGTTGTGAGGCATAGGCAATTTTGCCTTTCACTGTTATGGTGCCATCAGACAATGGCAGCTCACCAAGTATTGCCATCAAGAGAGAAGACTAAAGGACAATAATTAACAGTAAGACTGTGAGTCAATTAGCTGATAGTTGCATGCAGTAACGGGTGAGTTAACAATGGAAGTCAGAAGAAATCAACAGTGAGCAGACTTATTGTTGTCAACTTCTGGCTTAACCCAGCGGCCAATGGTTATGTACCTTGGCAGGCGATATGTTTCATGGTTTTCATGGATAGTTTAACTATAACTGTTCTCGACATTAATATATTCACCACTAAGAATGTATACTAAAAGAAAATTACTTGATTTACTTTAATCTTTGAAAAAAGAAAATTATTCATCAACAACTTCTTGACAGTTTTGAATGTTTTAAAAGTCAAAATGTATGCAATCTGATTCCTCCTTGTTTGGTAACTATAGTACCAATACAGCATGTGGAATGTATTATATTTACATTCAATAATAACTAGTAACAGAAATCACTCGACAAACCTTCCCAGATCCAACAGTACCGATCACACCCAGCAGTTCACCCTAAAGACAAATGCAAATAATATTCTCAAACGCATTAATAATTCATCAAGTTTAGACAAAGGAAGTCATGAGGGTGTTTGGATATCTGATCTTAATTAACATAGATTTTTACGATTTTATTTCTCCGTCTTCTCCTTAGTTTTAGTTTCAATTGAGAAGATATATCAAACACTCAAGGCAGTGTTTGACCTCATTTCCAAACACCTCGAAGTTCGTCAAAAATACCCAGCTGCACGACGTATTTTCAACTCTTTTCTTGGTGTTTGGAAATGTGGTCAAACACGGTCTTTCGTGTTTGATATATAAATTTACTTACACAATGAATAGGGTTTGTATTGACTGTAAGTAAAGCCTTAGCTGACGACTAAAAGAACACATGAGCATTTCAAAATATAATGGAACATTTGCTGATTCAGATTCTGCCACAACTGATCACAGATAAACCACTTACACTCGACACTTTGAAAGTCAGGTTGTCCAGAGTTGGGAATGCCAAGTTCTGAAAATTTAAAGAAATCACATAAAATAATTATTGAAGCTGTTCCATTCTTGGACTATCAGAACAATAAAGGCATTCAAATCTCTGACTTCCAGGGCGCATTAATGTTTAAAAGTTTTCAACAACCAGTAATATTCTTGCTGGAAAATGAAACTGTCTAAGAGGCAGAAAAAAAACTGTCACACTATTAAAAAGTAATCAATACAATGGTCAGTCCTGTGACACTGACTTTATCCCAACAAAGTTTATAAATCAGGATCAAGATGCTGCCATAATGTAATTATTTTAGGAGAGTTACAGAGTTTAGATAGTGCTTAGCTGTATAGCTGCAAAAGTGTCTTATTTCTTGCATTTTATGAGACAACTGAACATGCATGCATATATCAGCAATTCAAGCTATTCCTCCCACCGCAAGGGTCAATCAAGCTACAAGTATGCTTGGTTTATAGCACTTGTGTCTTAGTTGATCCGTACATTATCATAAAGAAATACTGAAATAATGCACCTGGTTCCAAAAAGCTGTGATATTTTTGGCCTCGACATAGCAGTCTTCAGGTTTAGGTCTCAGTTTTGAGGTTACAAGACCTTCTGAATGCATCTCATCCAACAAAAGAATATCCTGAAAATGACAAATTATTCAATGCTTACTTTATATGGTCATTATAGACCACTTTCATAAATGGTGGCCAATTATAAATTCTTTTGTAAGTATTAAAATTAGCCTTACTAACCTCATTTTGAAGTTGGTAATTCGAAAGAATTTTATTCTGAAACGAGGTTAGTAAGGCTAATTTAAATGCATACAACAGAATTTTAAACCGGTAGCCATTTATGAAAAGGGTCTATGGTATTTCAAAGGTGGCTGTCAATTTTATATCCAAGGTATTGGTATAGCTGGGATGTTTTTGGACATTGTTTTGGCTACTCCTCTATGTTTCAATACAGTTCATTATTTCTCGTACCATTAAGGATGGTACCTACTTTTGTTAGCGTGCACACGTTCTGCGCATCACACAAGGCATAGTTTGCACAATGAACACGAGCTAGTGTTGAAATTGATGTAATCAACTACACTACCAAGTGCCTGACTAAAATGAAAGCAAATTTTCTCACTGTAACCAAATCAAGTTTAATGAACCTGAACTAAAACCAGGAACACCAGAATACCAGCATATTGCTAACCACTAAAATAATGTTAATGGCTTACAGCTGAAAAACTAGCCGTTATCCATAGAAATTTATACTGAAATCCAACATGAACCTGCAGATGGCATAAAGTATGAAATGAAGTCTCTGTCATGATTTATTAAAAAAAACAATGAAGGAATTTAACAATGGTTAAATTTGTAATATGTGGAATATCTTCAGAGACTATTAATCAACTCTATCAATTGACAGACATTTCAACGCTTTGTTTAACCTAAAATCGTAACATTATGGACACATAAACATACAATTACCTCCATCACTAACCTCCATGCGTTTTATTGACACTCTGCATTCATTCATCAGTGTCAGAGCTACTGGAAAATGCAAGGCCATGACAATTCGAATCATGTTAAACAGTGAGATGCAAGTGAAAACGGTTTGTGCCTTTAAAATTTCACCAGTTAACACGTATGTCATGAAGGTGACAAAACTAATAAGTGCTGATGAGCTAAAGAAAAATGACATGAAGGTTCCTTGAACAAAGTTCAGCTTCAGAAACCAGTCAAGTTCATCTCTGTTGACAGAAAAAATATAAAACAATTATTAATATTACAATCTGCATGTGTACTGAGAGTGGCATGATATTGTTTAAAGTGCATTGTAACAATATTACAGACACTGACTCATTAAACCATTTGGTATTACTGTTTTTTTTTTTTATAACAAAATTCAGCTCAAAATTTCTATTATTGCTGATACAGCTCCTGAATGATTGTTCAATGCACACCAGTGGTTGGAATCATATGAGTCATAAAATAAGGCCACAATTTGTCTGGTTGGTTTAAGTGGTGAATGCATTACCATTCTGTCAGATAAATAAAATGAAGTAGGGCTTAGTGATGCAGCATCTCATTACAGACATTTAAAAAACAAGGAATATTCTTTGGATCCTGACCAGTGCAGTTGCTTGTAGTTCATGTAGCACATTTCTAGAATGAGAACTGAATAAATGTTTTTTCTGTCTTTCACATGCTATGCTTATTTTGCCTTTTGGCAAGTAATGTAACTTGCAATGAAAAATTTGTGTGTATTGTACTGTTTAAAGTACATTCTTAAAAGAATGAGGAATGTTCATGTCAAGTTTTCTTTCTTTGAATGTTATGCAGTTTTGACCAGTGTGGTTATTAGTAGTGGACATAAAGAATGAGCAATAACTTTGTCATTTATGTCAATAATGAAATGCACTTAAGCCGGTAGCAAAATCCGTACAACCCACTCAAGTTTTAACTTGTTTGAATTAAAACTTAGTCCCTCACTTAACAAGAAAAGTTACACATAGAATTGCCACCAGTCTTACTTCCGTATTTGTCTTATCCACTTTGAGAATGAATCTTCCCATGTGTACATCTTAATGACACGCATGCCAGCGATGACTTCATTCATAACCTTCACCCGTTCATCCATCCACCGTATTGCCTTTGTTCTATGAGAATTAAGGAAATACAATACTTTTTCACTATCACAGGCAGCATGGTACAACCAGGCAAAGAAGGGTTTTAAAATCTATTGTGGGTTACAATAAAGGGAAAGGGATTTCATTCTACTAATTCTTGTTGTAGAGGAATTCACGTTGCACACAATGAACTAAATGAACTACATGCACATTTGCTTTTCAACTTATTGAGAGTGGCTTAACCAAAGTCAAGATGGGCTGGCTCGGGGAGATAGCGTGGGCCTTTCCCTCCTCAAAAAAGGCGGGGTTGGGAAAGGGGAAAAAACAGAGGCCCTCTCCCCCCTAGCATCTACCTCATCCCCTAGATCTACACTCCCTTGTTACAACCATGGTATAGCAGGTCTTTTACATGTGATGGGAATTTTGGTCTAAGTAACAAAATGGGTGATGATGCAAGGGGGATCCAGTTAGTGCTGTAACCATGGTCAAGTTCTACCTCAGCTCACCTTAACCATGGCAGCATTGCTCTTGTTTAGTCTCAAGAAGGTTCAATATTGGCAGGGAGTTAACAAGGACTGGTATAAGAGAACACAAGAGTTCCAGGCCAAATGATGCTGACTTAATTGAACTTACCTAAACCCAAAGAGCATGTGACCCATTTTAAGCTGCATGGGGGCCAGAAGCACAATTAATCCCATTCCAGCAACTGCTGAGGGACCAATTTGTAACCATAACAATAGTAACACAATGGCAGATATAACAGGGCCAATGACCAGGTAATGCAGAAGAGTTGTACTCTAAAACAGATCAACAAATGTGTTACAAAATTATAACTAAAATTGAAAGAAGCATGCAGATTAGGGTACACCAAGTGGACAGAAAGAAGCACTGTGAGAGGAAAGTGTTTCACCTAAGAACATATCACAGTGATCACAGCAAGGACTCGGATCTGGATTACTCCACCCAGAGTCCAGTCCACCACTCATTGAATACTCATGAATAATGTCTGTACATACATGTAATTATGGTGGTCATGCATTTAGCTTTGAGATAGGAAGCTTCATGTATAAAACAAATAATAATTTGTTAGGAAATAAACACACAACATATAACTATACATTTACATATTTTAACTACCGGCAGTGGGTGAGGGGGAAGAGTGGTTTTGAGTGGCATCAGCAGTGGCAAACATTTGGATATTTTAAAAGTGTGAGAAAGGAGTTGAACTCAGGACTATCAAGATTAATTATGTCATCTAGCGGCAGGGTGGTGGGCCTGGAATCTCTGGATTATGAAACCACTCAGTCATGATTTCTCCACATAGGGAAAAAATGATACACAGAAGTCTTGATAGCACAAATGTAATTAATGCCAAAAAAAAATCAAGTAAGAGATGACTGCATAGTAACTAATATCTATCAATAGAAAAAGGAACTTAAAAGTTCTACTTACCCAGTCAAACTTCTGAGTATCACTAGAAACCAAGTTTACAATGTTACCAGTAGTTGTACCCTGGAGGGCGGCAGTGCTTAGTTTTAGAGCCTAAAAAATAACCAGACAAATAATGATATCCTTATGCTTCACGCTATATCTACATAATATTGAATGGCTTTGATGAACCACACAATGTTGTTGAAGTTCATTGTTTGATGAAGACAATACATGTTTCAGATGAGACATCATCCATCATCAGTTACACAGTGAGAAGTAAAATGAAAATACACAACAAATAGTATAACAAAGTGAGATATTAACAAGAACAATTAAGGATGAAGGCATGAACCAAAAAAGGGTAAAACTATTTAAGCTAAGAAAGGACACTAATTAGTATGAAAGAGATAAATTAAGATGTTTGACCTGCGAATTTAAAGACGGCTGCTCTCAAAGGATGTGTATGGCTTCCTTGATTTTCAATTGGAAGCTTGTGGAAACAGAGTTGAGAACTTTGAAACAATCTTCTGAACAAAGGGAGTGACAATTTTCAGAACTTCTCAGGTGTTTAAGGATGTGGGGATGTTTGTCAGTGGAGAGATGTTCGCGGATGCGAGTGGCGAAGTGTCTGTTGGTTTCACCAACATAACAGGGACTATGTTACATTGGTATCTTACTTTGTGCTGCTATGAAGCCCTGATAATATTGAATACTGTGAAAGGTGCACTAGCTGACCAACTGTTACAAATTTTGTTAACCTTTAGAGTAAGTGCATTATTTGGCTTTAAGCCTGATTTTATTCTAACAATAGATACCAGCAAACTCATTGAAGAATAATGACTAAAATGATGTAACGATATGACAAAGCAATAGTTTTAGTTGCTCCATGCTACAGATACTGAATTTAAGCATAGGCACTTAAGTCAATGTCAGTATATGCAAGCCCCTCTAATTATCAGTCAAAACAAAAGACAAACTGACAGACATACCAATAGAATGCTGAGGATTACAGAACAGGTATAAACAGATAATCTGATGGTTGGTTGATTGATTTAATATATCACTGAACATGAAAGACAGTGTTTCACCACACTTTTCAAACTCATTAATAATTCATCAAGCCAAAACAAAGGAAATCATAACCTTGAGGGTGTTTGGATATCTGATCCTAAGTGAAGCCTTGGAGCTGACTGGCTCATAGCTGCCAGAGCTTATCCCAGTTTCTGTAGCATGAAGCGGCTAGGAGTTTTTCTACTCCCCCTGGATGGGATGCTAGTCCATTGCAGGTCACTCCCCTGCAATCTTTTAGGTTTCCTCAACAATTTGCTGGTACCCATTTATACTCCTGGGTGGAGAGAGGCACTGTGAGAGTCAAGTGTCTTGCCCTAGAACACAACATAGTGTCCCTGGCCAGGGCTCGAATCCGGACTGCTCGATCTGGAGACGAGCACACTAACCATGAGGCCAACACGTCTCCACTAATCTTAATTAGTATAAATTTTACAACAATATTTCATTTCTTTGTTTTCACAGGAGTTTTGAAACGTGTGAGGGAAAACAAAGCACACACGCAATGTCTTCTGGGTAGCGATTGTGCAATTTAGCCATTTTTCGACATAGGAGCAAGGTGAAAGCCCCGTTGGCATTTTATGACTGGGTTCACCTACGGCAACCCAGTAACTATAGTTCCGGTATTTTGGTAAATTCCCATGTGGTATTGCAGCTTTCTACGTTTTTTACATGGTTTTGCGGTTTTCTGACCCCCCTTACGCCCCCCTCTACCAGCTGATGCCAGGACAGAGCCAGAGCATGTGGGTGGGGTGGGTGCAAAAGAGTGACTTTTCCAGCTAAAAACTGGCCATTTCCTTTTCGGGAAAGCCTAGTAGGGTGCAATGTGTACATTTAGTCAGCTACATGCAAGCAAGGTGGGTGTGCAGGCTCTGCAGTGACAGGTTGACTGGCATAATTTGATAAAAAAAGCATGTGTACTTCCTGTAGAAGTTGCAGGCTTGTTTTGAGATTGACACTGTTTTCATAAATCCAGAAATACTGTATAAAAGAAATCCTACCATTTAGGTACCTTTTTATACACAAGGCCTGTACATGCCACCCTTATTCTCATGCCATAAACTTGTGACATAAAGGTGTATGGTGCATTGAACAAACTTGAGATAACAGCACATAAACTGAGCCCAAAGGCATAAAGGTAGGCGTCTCTTATTGAAATGGGAGAATCCTCCACAAAATAGAGCACCAGTTGGCCCAGGAAGATAGGTTGAACCAATCGTAAGAGGTCCTGCAATTACAATAATTATTATTAATAATACATTGTTTAATATAATAATTCAACTGAAAGATCATTTTGGTACATGACAATAATTTTACAGACTGAGTTGAAGACTGATAGATAAATGAAGTGAACAAGCTGGAGCTACTAAATATATGAAAAATTCTCCCATGTCTTTGCATGCATGAAATAAGTAGCCAGTCTCACCATTGCAATTATTATGATTGTCAGTGGTGATTCAAAGTACTGTACATGCACATTTATATATCCACATAGTTTTGCTAAATATTACTGAACTCTCAATATGAGTGAGTCAAAATTTCAGCTTACATGAATAAGTGCCACCAGTCCTAACATAGAGTACCCTAAACCAAAGGACCTGACTATAGCCCGTAAAAAACTGGGATCTTTGCCAAGCTGTCCTGACCTGTACACTTCTTTTTCCCATTCTCTAAAAACAACAATGGAAATAAATACCGGTATAAATAAAAGGGTCAGTTATTTGTAACATACTTTACATGTAACTGAAGACTGAAACAGCTGAAATAGTTCAGTTTTTAAATAGCCAGAATTAATTAGACCACCTGGAAATTTAGCATCTAGTTCATGGTCACAACACTTTTAAGTGAATATCAAACTTTTCTTAACCATTCCAGTTTTAAAATTATAGTACTGGAACATGGCTGAACAGAATTGCAGAAGACTTGCCACCTTTCATATCACATGCTTAGGAAAATTATGAAAGTGTTCTGGCCTAAAAAGGATTCCAATAAGAGGTTCGTGCATGACACTAAACAGGAACGATTGGAAAATGTTGATAATGGACATGGGCTCATAATTCCTTGCCAAGAGAACGGATCCTGCAGCTGTCACAAGAGTTAACCACTGACATGACTGAGGTGGCGGCCAGGGACAATATGGAGATCGATGATGTTAAGTGAACTGCTGCCGGAAATTTGTGTTAGATGGGAGAAGATGGTGAGATAGGTGCTAGACAGACTGGTCTGGTGCAATCTTGTTTAGACCTTCCACTGTATATACCGTACTTAAACACAAGGATGTGTGCATGTGTATTAACACACGTTCGTACTTAAAACAAACTCTTATTTATTGCAACATTGTATGAATAAACAGCAAAATCTACTTACTGTATCAAGTGAATGTTTCCCTTATGTTCAAAAATTAAACCATGGTCAGTGGTCTTAAGGACAGTGCCTACTAAACATGAAAGTTTTTGCCCCAGGTTAGGACCATGGGGAAAAAGTAGATCTTTTCAAGGGCTATTGGAATCCACAAGCCTGCATTTTTTCGAGATAATTAACCTTGAATCTCAACAAAAATGCTGACATCAGCATTTCTCTGAAAAAAAGAAGGAAAGGATATTTCTCCACAGATTTCCTTAGAATTCACCTTAACAAACAGAAAAGCAAACATGTTTTTAAAGATCTTAAAACTGCATGGTAAATGGTAACATAAAAAACATTTTTGGTAAGTTTTTAATAACAAAATGGTTGCAACAATGCTTTTAGCGTCTCTGAGAGCCTTCCTCTCGTTCAGCTAAAATACAGTCTAAATGTCTTTCTCACAACCAGAAACTGATGACGTGTTGAATAGGTTTGCCACTTCCATTCATAACATAAATATAGGGGTAAGGGAAGGTATGTTTTTTATTGGGGGGGGGGGGTGGGTCGGGGTATTTTAGAAATTTTTTGGGAAAAAAGTCCTGGCCCTCCCACTTCCCAGAATGGATTAATGCATGACCCTTCACAAATACCTACACAAAAACATCTGACCCTCCCCCCACCTCCTCCAAGACAAAAAAAACTGGAAGTGAAAATAACTAACCAGAAGTGTTACTCACATAACTGTACATGTGTCTGCGCACAAAGCAGTTAATTGCGTGGTGTGTGACTGCACGGTGAAAACTTGAAAATGGGCAAGCATGTGCGAGGAATAGAAAGAGGGAAATGCGCTTGTGGTGAATGTGAGGATTTCATGAGGTCAGATGGAGCAACTTGCTCAGATTAAGCGATTGTTTGAGGAAAGTGAACTAGTCAGTGGCGACAGTGAGGTGTATTAGAAAGTTTTCAGATAAATACATTGTCCCCGAAAAACTTGGGGCAGAGTATGTTGAGAACCTTGCCCAGATAAAAATGCGCAAGGAAAAGAGGAAAGAGGAGACTGAAGGGGAGCAAATTAAACGGCTGAATCGGGAGTACAATGACGTTGACTGGGTTGGACTGTACAACTCCGATAAGCTGTCGTCCTTGTGGGTGGACGAGCTCTCCCTGTACTTTTCCCATCACAAGATCACCTTCAAAGGGAAGAAAGCTGAAAAGTCGCAATGATCAAAGTGCACATAGGCAGCTTGCTGTATGATTCAATGGAGTGTCAACAACCTCGGCAGCCCCCGCTAAGAAATGTGCAGCAACAAGTGACCTCATCACTTTCCGAGGTTGAAACTGACTCGCAAAGTGATGTAGTAGATCAAGTTGTTGGTTCAAGCCCGAGTAGCTTAAATAAATAACGAATCGTCACCAGAGACTGGTTTTACGCCAGAACCCTGCGCGGAAACATTACCGCCCTCAAAATACGGACGAAAGCGTGCATGGGTCGAGAGTGACAACTACAGTATGTATCTCAGTTGGTACAAGATAATTATTTGATGTAATATTTCGACACTTGTAAATAATTTAGATTAATCTTGACTGGTAGCTTTGCTTGTATATACAAAATTTAGGTTTCTATACACTTCGTGTGTTTGTTAACAAATAAGAGTCAACTAAGCAACATGGAATAATCTTTTCTTCGCCAAAAAAAACTGACCCTCCCCTGGTTGCGAATAAAACAGGTTTGACCCTCCCCAATTTGTAAAAAAATTTACTAATGACCCTCCCCTCCGTAGCCCCGGCCCACCCCCCCCATTTAAAAACGTACCTTCCCTAACCACGCACTTTTTCGTTATCAATCTCTTAAGAAAACTTTTACAGTGCTTGTTACATTTTTTCCTGTCACCTCCCCAGTAAGTAAAACATTTGCATATCTTGCAGTTGTTTTGTGCACGCACTACACCATCTGCAGGTACATGTTTACAGTTGGATTTCAGTATAATTTTTGACAGATAACAGGTAGTTTTTCAGCTCAAAGACGTTAACAGTTTGTGGTTAGGGATATGCTACTATTCTGGTATTCCTGGTTTAAGAACAGGTTCATTAAACTTGATTTGGTTGCAGAAGGAAAATTTTGCTTCCATTTTAGTTGTGTGCTTGGTAGCGTAGTTGATTGCGTCAATGTCAACCCCAGCGCAGGCATGGTGCTTAAACGTGCCTTGCGTGATGTGCAGAACGTGTGCGCAGTAACAAAATTAGGCACTGTCCTTAGCTTAAACAAGGTTTGTATGTGCATTTGGGCATATAAATTTAAGTGTATATGAAAAGACTGTGGGCTATTTAGAGCCTAGTTGTCACCAACACAAAGTTATCATTTATCATGATAAGAACATTTTAAAACCTCTCTAGTTGTTCTGTCACTGTGTCAGTTTGATCTCTTTCCAGCAGTCCATAAAGATCCTCAGCTTGTAGGGGTCGCTTTGCTCCAGTAGAAAGCAGTCTGTTTAACCACCTTAAAAGCAAAACCAAACAATTATATGTTGCTGAAATCAAAACATGTAACTTAAAAACTAAGACAAAACAGATTATAAACAGGGATGTCATTAAGTCTTAAATCACCTGTAGCCTTGTTCTCCACACCCGTAACAAACGTGTTACTTTGTGGTCGAATTCTATCAACAACTGGCAGTTTCACCCGTAGCATGAAGGGAAAATCAAGCATACTCAGCCGTAACAGGTGTTACGGGTTACGGTCCTTAATGACAGCCCTGATAAATAGCTAGTACACCTAGAAGTATTCTTGTGGCTAGGGCAGAAGCCTTAGTTACTATATCGACTTTCCTAGGGGATTGCCCAGGGGAAGGAATGTTGATTGAGCAATATAGAAGCTCCACTCACAAGTTCAACCTAAAGCTTAAGTTATGATAGGGGGAGGGGGATACTACATATTCGCCTTCTACCACCTTCTTCCTTGTCTCACTTAATTTGATTTGAGGCTCAAAATCACATACAACTATTAAGGTAAGTTCTACTCATCTACACCCCTAACTATACATTCTTACCATAGTGTAATATATTTAGAGACAAATGAGGCTTGAGCCATGGGTGATAGCAAGATTCCAGGATCACTTTCTTGTCTGTCCCCATCTCCTAACATAGGCTCTTCCTGTTCATCTCCTTTCCTTAATCCAGCTGCGTAGATGTCATCAACATCTGCAATGCTTCCTGCTGCTGTCATTTTCTCACTCATCATTTCAGAATCTTCCATTTTGCATTCCAGTTTCAATCTAAGTCCACTAGTAATAATCAATACAATTATGCTTTAATCTTATTTATCTTATTTAATGAGTAAATATTCATTGCAATGTTATTAACCTTGATTAAATGCCTGAAAACCTCCAACTGAATAACAGTAACCGTACAGTAATATACCCTGCCAACCAGTTTACAATGCTGTTCAGACAATAATATTATAAAAAAGAGTTAGTAATAAACAATGAAAGAAACTGATTGCATACGGTGGCTGGCAACAGTTTCCAGCAGTTGTACTTTGACAAATCAACACTTGTACTCTTTATCAATTGGTATATTTATTATATTGGTATCAGACAAATTCCCATTATCATTGGTGAACAAGTTGTGGTCAACTTCATGTCATAAAAAGTTACAATAGTAACACTACAACCTGTTAAAACATCCTTGCTCTGATACTTACCTACAGAATGTTTTTAAACTTTGCAAAAAGTTGTAACTTAACAAGTTTATCATGATTCTATAATAAAAAAATGAAGTTATTTTTTAATTACAAGCACTTAGAACTAAACTTAAGGAAGTTTTTAACGAGTTGTATCAATGCCATGGTAAACAAGATCATATATTTGAACTGCGGAGAAAGATATGGAGACATAATTGATCATCGCAGTTATACACACAACTTAAGCAGTTGTGAAGTTAAGGCCTGAACAGGATTGTTAACCTGTTAAAACATCCTGTTTAATTATTTTCAGGCCTTAATTTCACATCTGCTTAAGTTGTGTGTATAACTGCGATGATCAATCATGTCTTCATATTGTTCACCAATGATTGCGTATTTGTGTGATGCCAGTATTGTAAGATTGCTAGATAAAGTGTTTGAGTCCTGGTTGGGGACATTGTCTTGTGTTCTTGGTCAAGACACTTTTCTCTCACAGTGCCTCTCTCAACTCAGGTGTATAAATGAGTACCGGTGATTTTAATGTTGGGGGGTAACCCTGCAGCAGACGAGCATCCCATCTAGGGGGGAGTAGAAATACTCCTAGTCACTTCATTCTACTGAAACCGGAGACAAGTGCCAGCCTGATGGGCCACTTGGCTTGTTTGCAGACTTTTCTTTACTTGATAAAGAGTGGTAGTATTGACCAGTCAAAGTATACCTGCTGGAAAGCACTTTAAACTATTTCAAGCCACCTTATGTTTATAGGTGGTTAACAAACATTCCTGAGAGATTTAATCACAAAGAGAGGGTCTAAAATAGGGTTTGCAAATCCTACTTCCCACCACCAATTTCCTTCAATTCCGCCATTCCGTCTACTTCAGACACGTCATCCCCACCCTACCTTGTTCCAAAGTATTTCAATTATGATAAGACATTGTCTTTAACTGAAAACCAAGCCTTCCCAAGGTAACATATCACAACAGACTTTTACAGTTGTCTGGGTCACTGTTTAAGCTAAAAAACACTAAACCTGGGTCACTGTTTAAGCTAAAAAACATTAATTTCACTTATAAGTTAATTTGTAAATGGAATGGAAAACGTGTTGACAGGCCTAGGTAACTCCTCCAGTTCGCAGATGGATTGGTTTTAAAACCTTTGAAGGTTAGCTTTTACCAGGACGTCTTTTCAGGATTTCCCCTTGTGATATGAGATGAAGAGGGGGAGGGGGAGGGGCTCTTTGAAGATTTCTCTTAGTTTTGGTTGATTCTGTATAAGGTGCCATTTCCTCATGAAAGTGTCCTTTAGGTTAGGCAACGCTGGGTGGTATTGCATTACAAAGGGCACTATTTTCTTTTACTGAGTTTTGTTTTTCTGTGATAGTGACACTTTCCTATCAGAGAATTTAAAGACGAATTCCAGTCCGTACTGCACAGTCTCAGGATCCTAATGTTTATAAACATGATAATATTAGAATGTGAATCGATGTTATTTGTTACAAACCATACCTTATCTTGAGGCCTTTCAAATTCTTTTTCCAACAGCTTCATTGATTTTTACAGCTGTGCAATTGTTTCATCAAGTGATACGAGAAAGAACGAAGCATGAAGCTTCGCATCATAATGGCGGTTGGCATAAGACTTTGATTTAATTCATGTAAGTAGCACTTGCGAAATGTTTACATTTTGCAATGTCTTACATGAAACGAAACAAAATTCGTAAACAAACTCTTGAGAGTACGCAGTACAGACTGGAAATCACCTTTAACCTCTGAAAAGTGTTTTTCTACAATTCTAGCTGGGTAATCTCTATTCTGAAAGCCTCTTTTCAAATTTCTCATGTTTTCCTCAATTTAATGTAGTTTCTGTTTCTAAGATTTCATTCATGAATTTGAATTTCAATAGACCTTTTCACAGTTTGGGGGGCAAAAATGGCAAATTATAGTAAATGTGTGGGGAAAATGGAGAATCCATTGTCTAACAACTCAAGGTTTTAAGTATCTATGAATTAAAAACTAAAGATACTAGGTAAGAGAATTGACTGATGTGTTTGAAGGAATTAGCCTTGCTAGAAAAGCCAATTGACGTTTTCATTTTCCCATACATTTGTGTGAAAAATTAAAAGTGCAATTCCTCACCTCACAGGGAATCTATGTTCTTCAAATTTTACCAAAAAAGCCTTCTGCTGGGTATCTGTTTCTTGTAATTCATAAAATACTAAGAAAGTCAATCACACTCCACCTATTGGGCATCAAACTTTTACCTTTTCCCATACATTTACTCTAATTTTTTCTGTGTTTGCCCCCCCCAAGTATAGTGTCAGAAACTGTGAAAAGGTCTATTTTGAGCACCTTTCATCCCATTTTTTACACAAAAAAAAATCAATAATTCCCTAGTCCCAATATTACTATTCTCGGTTTTCATGTGACGTTGTCATATTCCAAAATTAAAAATTACCTTTACATCTGAGGTTTTAGTTTCATCAGATATAAGACGTTTTAGCTCTACAGGGTTGTTTGTTTTGTAATAGAGCATGTTTCAATATCCAAGCTTTTGCATTGGTTGACACTAAAATGGCGGCCCAAGAAGGCTGTCATGTAGGTTAAAAGATGAGTTATTGCTTAAGGTTTTGCTAACTGAACAGTTCACGATTGCACTAGAAGAGGTATTTATTTCAATATGTCTTGGAACTCTAGAGTAATAATCTTTCATTTCAATAGCGAAACTCAATGACAGATGTTTCTGTTACTTTACGGCCGCCATGTTGGTGCCCCTCTGAGGGGCCACAACATGGCATCTCCATACAAAGCTTCATAAACTTGGGTGAAACACTTCTCCAAATAACGCGTGAATGAAAAACAGCAGAGACCTAATTCTTGGCGGGGTTGTTTATACATCAATCACATCCTGGATTCTTGATTTTATTTATTGAGGGGTTCTGATTTTTAGTTTTGATCACATGACCAGTAAAAACTGAGATATAAACAACTTCCCACTTCCCACCCATGCTTGCAATCCCGCATCCCACTCTCAAATTTCCTCCACTCCCAAATCCCGGCGGTGAAAAAAGCCTCATCCCGCATCCCACGGAGCACCTTCAGAATACCCGGCCGCTTTACTTACATGTGCCGGTGTGCTTTGAAGAACGAGGTATATAACAATAGTTGCTATTCTTATTCAATGAGATGCTAATTCTTTTGTTCATGATCATCCAACATGGCGGCGATAACGTCTATATGAAGCTTGCAACAGTCTTGGGCCAACATGATAGTTAAATTTGAATGCTTTTCATAAAATTCTACTAAAATTATGCAAATTTGACGCGCTCAATCTAACAACAAGCCGTGAACGGCATCCACAAGTTGCTAGCGTGACGAGCAACGTTCTCCCCGCGGAAGTTGGTCACGAAATTATAAAACTAATGTGGCTTCCACAATTTTTCATTAAAAATTATTGCAATTTAAGTTTCCAACTGTTTCAAAATTCCCCAAGATCTATTTGCCCAACAAAACCAAGTGATTTGCTATCCTCACCTTCTCAGCCTTCTCGAGTGATGTTTCAGTCCCGGACCAAAGCCAGATTACAACGGCAAAAGCAACCAAGGAATATACCTTACTTGCAATGAAGGTTTAAAAAGTAACTCTGCAAAGCTCTGCCCCTCATTCAAGCTGTCTCCCACTTCCAAAGCCCATCAAATCCAAACCGTCGGCTGTATCTTTCCCCTCCGCTGTGCATGTGGCGCGGAGCGCGAGGCAACAGGTCCGCAATGCGTACAGGTCATTTGTTGTAACCCGAGAAACACTTTATTGCTTATCGTGGATAGAGGAAGACTGGCTATCCATGCTTTTATTTACTCAAGGGTTGCGTGCACAATCTGCTAATGCGTATTTACAGGATTGCTTAGGATGTTAACACTTTTTTTCAAATACTGATAAAAGGCTAGGTATTATGAGCTCTTTCCTTGAGCACTCTCTTATCAACCAAACTATCCAAGAACATAAACACAGTTTTCCTTTTTTATGAGTTGGGAAAATGTTCATTGCAGCCTAACTAGAACCAGTGGGGTAGAAATTTCACTGGAAGACTTAAACAGAGGGCTGTTCATAAATTTCTCTGTTCAAGGTAAATGATTGTGCAAACTCTAATACAGTTCTTCCGAGGTATTAGTCAAAATGAATGAATTCATGCTTGCTCGACTTAATTCAGGTGATTTAAAAAAAAAAAAAGAAAAACATCATGTTTGGGTTATTTTCATAACCGTTTATTAGTAATTGATTCTTTTAACACCTTAAAATAGTTCACAGTTCTCTGATGGTATCTGCTGTACATCTGCTATACATGTATATTTACCTAAAATAATATTCATGTGAAAATATTACACCTTAGCTTTTTAATAAAATAATACATTGTCATATTATTTTTAATAGCTATTACATACTATTTATGCTAAACTATTTTCAAATAATATGTTCATGATCCACAATTAAAATTATAACACCTGCTTCATAACTTATTAAATATAGAGACACACTTAAACAAAAAAGAATGTTTCAAGAAAATATAGTGGTGTTACATCTATTCAGATTTTTAAATTTGTTACAACAAATCAACAAACTAAATATATTTATAGGGAGTGCTTCTAATTCTTGGTTGGGGATTGGAGGGGGATGGTTGGTATTTCATTAACCTGTGTCCTTTGGAAAAACAGACCACCTTTATCTTATTGACATTAAAAATCATATTTACATTGACCTTGTAATTAAAACTTTTATAATTTCTGTGTATTACACAACATATACATATCTGTCTATGAGTTAAAGAAACTGAGCTTACACAATCAGAGGACCCGATATGGTGCTGTTGTTGAATTGCTAACAAAATCTGTCTCTTGCATTTGTTCAAACACTCTAAAATTATTTTAGTAATTGTAGCTGAGCTAGGTTGCCACATATGTCGTTAAATTGCACTTAGAAACTCTTGAAAACTACTTTAAACCAGGCTTCTATCAATCAGGACATTGCAAACTTGTATCAATCTTCAGGATTGTACTTGTATGTACTAGTAGGATAATACAAATCTTTGAATAGGTAAAAATCCATATACGTCAAGGGAAAAAATGTATTGTTCTAGAAAACTTGATCTCATCCTCTTCCCATGCATAAATATCTACAGGTTAACTGTATTATATATACGGTAATAGCTAAATGTATTAGATATAGTTCGTATAGTGTGATCGTCCGGGTGAGGGTAGTTCTGAAAAGAACTGTTGTTTGCGACTGACATTTTGACAACCTGAGCGGAAGTCATCTTCGAAGATGACTTCCACTCAGGTTGTCGAAACGTAAGTCACCAACAACAGTTCTTTTCAGAACTACCCTCACCCAGACGATCACACTATACAAACTACTGATACTCCTGGGTTCAAACCATTTACCGGTACTACATGTATGTATTAGATATATAAACATGATTAGTCTAATAAAATACCGTAACTAGTGAGACAATCTCAGATAGTGCAGATCGCAATTGATAGCTCTGGTACAGTAGTCCCATAAGTACTCACCCCTACTCGGTTCACTTCCGGTTTGTGTCTACCTTGGT